AAAAAAAAAAAGATGTGGTACATATACACAATGGAATATTACTCAGCAACAAAAAAAAAAAAAAGAAACATGTCTTTTGCAGCAACATGGATGGAGCTGGAAAAGATCATGAAATAAAACAGAAAGTAAAGATCGTGAAATAAGACAGAAAGTAAAGGAAAAATACCAGACGGTTTCACTCTTAGCTGGAATATAGTGGACCAGGCGAGAAAATAATAATCAACAGCTATAAACCGGGGACGTTTTATGGGGGTGGGGTGGAGAATGGGATCAAAAACAGTGGGGGGAGGGAAGTGCACTGGACTATGGTGATGGCACATGGGTGATTTGGTGAGGAAAGCCCAAGAGGATTACAACTGAGATGGAAAAATGCACTAAATGATGTAAAAATAAACATATTATTTAAAAAAAAAGATTTTTTGTGTCAACAAATATCTTTTAAAATGGTTATTACATAAACTCGGGAATATCATGGAGAACTTCCAGGATCTTGAGAGCCATTTTTTAAATAGACATAATTTTTAAAAGACACCTATAGGACTAGACGGGGTCTTTCGGATGTGTAAGCATATCAATTCACAGATTTATTTTTCAAGCAATGCTAGGGCATAGTAGGAGAGGGGAGCTAGTATTTGAGGGAATAAAGATGGATAGGCAAAACCCATGGTGAGCAATCAGTACCTATGCATTAGGATGACTGTAATTAAAACAACAACAGCAAAATATCAAGTGTTAGGTAAGACATGGAGAAGTTGAAACTCATACCTTTCTTCTAGGAATATAAAAGGGTACAGCTACTGGAGAAGATAATTTGACAGTCTCAAAAAGTTAAACAATTGCCATATGACCCCAAAAATTGTACTCACTAATATACCTTGTACATATTCATAACACCACTATTCATAATAATCAAAAGGTAGAGACAACCCAAACAACCAGAAAAATAAATGGATGATTAAAAGGTTGTTTGTGGCCCTCCCTGGTGGCGCAGGGGGTTAAAGCACTGCACTAAGAAACTAAAGCCACTTCCGCATAAGTTCGATTCCCGCCTGCCCCGGAGGCGACCACATGG